TCATAATTTAGAATTTGAGCAGTAATTTCGTAAATTTCAAGTTGCAAATACCATGCAATCATCTATTATATGTATCAAATCTATGAGATAGAAATATTATTTAGATAATCAACGTGGAGGATGATGGGCTCCATTTATCACTCTAATTAACTTTCAGCAATATAGGGAATTCGGTCCATATTTTAACTAATGATGGTTAATAAAAAAAATTCATGAAAAAGACACAAACGTCATATAGGATAAAATTGAAGAATCTTCTCATTTTTCATTGAATATCCGTTTGAATTTTTAATTTCACATCATTATTAATCCAGTGATGATCCAACTTGTCATACCAAACAATAAAGTCAAATTAAACTTCTGATTCAATATAAGATATAATTCAATGATGTAATTTTGAAGAATACGATTAAAGCTTATATAATCTATATCATTCAAATAATCAAACTAATCAATGTTTTAATGACATTAGTTAAATGTTTTCTTTTAGAGATAAACACGAACTCAAAATAATATATTATTCGAAAATGTGCTATTTCGAGAACACATTATCTTTTATTATTACTTCTTCAAGAGCAATATATCAATATTCATCTGAAATATTGAAAAGTATAATCCATGATATTCAAGAGCGATAAATTAATATTCCTTTTGAATATTAAAAATATAGAAAATTAGTTTCCTTTGAAAATTACAACCCAATATTGAGTTATTTAATTTATGCTTCTAAGTTTCTTCATGAACACAATGAGATATATTATTTGGGATATACGATATTTCGAGAGTACGTTATATTTTATTATTGCCCTTTCAAAATCTATATGGCAAGTAAAATCTAACTAGAATATTTGTTATTATGCTGCTTCAAGAACACGAATAAATTATTATTATAAGATATTTATCTGCTATTCGGGAACAATAAATATAATATTCTTTTAAAATATTAATTATAATGTTGTACTACTTCAAAAGCAACAATGTTATAAATTATTAATTTAAAGTTTATAAAAGAATATATAAAAAAATTTAATTACCATATAGACATGAAATGAATTTATATAAAAAAATTAATTACAAAAAATGTATAAGTAAAAAAAAAAAAAAATTCTTTCTGACAGGCACATAAATTGATTTCATATAAAGACACACAAATAGGACAAAGTAATCATTATTTATATAATGAAATAATCATTACATATTTACAAACAAGCAAAAAAAAACATAGAATAAGTAGAGGAGGTAGTGTCGTTTTGATGTATACGTATGTAGAAAAATTCACATGTTACCAAATTAATTTAGATGTACGTGATAAATATTTATACTTATAAAAAATTACTACATTCACTAAACTTTGAAAAATTAAGTTATTGAGCTGATAACGTATTATGAAAAAAGAGAAAGAGAATAGAGAATGAAACATAAGAATATCTCTAATAGATTCTCTAAATACAAAATGCTTTTTATTTTAAAGAGCTGGTACTTAAAAATATGCTCCAAAAGGCTTTCTATTTTACCTTTTAAAAATAGAAAGTGGGGTTGACATTTCAAATTTAGATAGTCAAATTTACTCTCTATTCTTAATGGACAATGATTATATTTAAAAAGCCATGGATTTCAATATGTACTTTTTAAACTATCCAAATCATATTTAAATTGATTGACTATTGACCTATAAAAAATTATGTTAATTAAATTATGAAGAGAAATCAATATTTTTTTTTTTTTGAGAAAGGTAAAATAAAGAATCAAAATAGAAAGTATTGCTGGAGCGCATAAAAATTTTGACTTTCTATATTTAAAAATGTCCTTTATAATAAATAAAATACCCTTTATAAATAAAGAATCATTTGGAGATGTTCTAACGAGTTTAACTTTCTTGATTCTTTTTCTACAATGAATTCGTTTCTTGTTAATTTTACGTGAGCTAATGATTTTCTTATCCATAATTGTATTTAAAAATTGCAAGATTACAGGCTTCGTCGGATAGAGGATTGGAAACTGTGGCAATAGCGATGTAAGGATGATGTCTTTTAGTTATTTATTTTTATTTCCTACGTAGATAATACGTAGTAAAAAAATTCATACAATAGTAAATGGGCTTGGGTAGCCTTGGGCCACGCTCTATTTCTGCCCCTAGGTTGTACCATGGTAGGCAATGGAAGAAATGCATTTGGTGGCGGACTGGGAATACCTTGTTGACGCTGTTCGGATTACCATTATATGCAATTGTATAGTATTTTGTATTAGAAAATGAATGCCACCTAAACCGCAATATTGTGTTGTAGAAGAAATTCATTGGAAACAAATTTTAAGTTTCGCCATCTATTCAATGGACATCGATGTCACGTGGATTGTAAATACATCTATTTGCTTGTGCATTGCAATCCATCAAATGCATAGCATCTCTAATGCAACACTTGAATTGCTTAAAAGTTTGTCATATAAGCAAAAACAGATGGTATTTATAAAAACTTCTAAAATATAAGTTGACACAGATCCCATCAAGTTGACGTGGCTAACCAAAAAAATAGACAACATCTAGAGAAAGATTTAGAGGGTGTTTGGTACCCATTTTTATGAAAAAATTGAATTTTTAAATAGTAGATTGATGGATAAAATATGGATGAAAAGTTTTTTTATTTACATGTAATAGTATTTTAATGAGGAATGTGTGGTTAAAAAAAGATAAAAAAAATTATATTTTGAGAAAAATGGGAATCAAACGGGAACTTAGACATAGAAATTCTATTAGACATCATGACTCAACAATATATTTGCTTCTTTTTCTGTTTTTAAAATATTAAATTTTCTTTCTCTTTTACTCTATTTTATTATTTATTATTTTAATATTACTAAAAGACAAATAGGCCATAGGCAAAAATATTGGACTACGAATAGAACCCATTGGAGATTGATTTTTAACTTGAATATTTATTCGTTAGACATCAACATCCCATGGACTGAAAAGTCGTCTATCTAGATGCTATATACATTACAATCCATGAAGAAACTTCTATGCTTACGTGGGTTGCACTAAATTTAATTGCAACATATAAATTAAGATAGATAGTGACTACATGGTTCTTCTCCAATGGGGCCAATAAGTTAAGGGTGTTTAAGACCCTTTATAATTTTTTGATTTTTTTTTTTCGAGGTCGGGTGTGGGGAGGCTTTGTAATAATTAGTTTCTGGATAACCGTATAGTTATAAAATAATAATAATAATAATAATAATAATAATAATAATAATAATAATAATAATAATAATAAAATAAAATAATTTACATGTAAAATTATCTTATTGAAAAAATGTATAGTTAAAAATTAGTTTTTATAGAATGTAAGTCTAACAAGGACTAAGCCTAATGTCTAGTTGACGTGAAAAGAAATGAGATATTATCAAGAGGATCGCTGAATATTATAGACAAATGAGTCGTCATAATAAAATATTTCTTTCTATTTCTCTATCCCATTTTTAAACTTTTCTCTCTCATGTTCATTATTGTTTCTCTCTATTAAATATATATTATGGATAAATTTTGAATTATAGACAAGATTTATTGGAGATAAAATTGAACTAAGCCATTTATTTATTATTAGACGTTAATGTCACGTAGAGCAAAACCATTTCTATTTAGAAGTCATTTAGATTGCAATTCATGAAATACATTGGAGATACTTTTAGAGAAGAAAAAAGGTTTATATCTATATTAAATCATAACTGAGCCCCTTATTTTGTGTAGATTAAAATTTAAATCAAAATCAATATTTATAATTTTAACCCCACAAATGGAATTCACAATTTTTCATCTACACATGTCAATAACTTTTATCAGATTCTACTCCAAATAGGGGCTAAATCTTACATGTCTAACTTTAAAGTATTCACCCCTCACTGTCACTATACAACTTGATAAATTTGTTCGGTTAACATAATCCAACTTTATGTGTCTGTAAATGAATATTGTTTCATTCTTCTTGTCATAGAGTGCCAACGAAGTCCAACGTTATGAGTTTGGTCAACAAACGCCAATGTAAGCAACACTTGTCATGAATTTATGCTTATTATTTGTTAACAGTGCACTAATAATTGGTAAGTCAACTTTTAACTGCATATATGAATGCATTTAAATAAGGATCAATTCCGAACACAACCAAATTCGTATATTTATCCAAGAATAAAAAAAAAATAAAAAAATTGAACAGACTAGACACAGATGAAGGGAAAATAAACAAGATCAAAGCCTTACTCAAGTGATAAGATGTGTTTGGAAATAAAGGAATAAAAATAATATGGCAATATGAAAATCAAACAAGAACAAAAGATTTATGTGAAAAAATTTTACAGGGAGAAGATGAGAATTTATTAGTATTGATAATGGAGGATTCCAAATTATTGTAAAAAATGTAACGATTGGCTTTTTAGAGTTTACTTCCTATATATATTGCACAAAGAAGAGCTTAATATATGGTGGAGTTCAACCGTAACAGATTTATACAATAATGGAGTGTATGGAATAAAATATGATTTAAAAAACCTACCAAGATCAAGAACTATTCAAATCCGAATTAAGACTACGATCACATGGCTTTCGAGCAGGCCACTCGAATATCCTCCTCGCTGATAGCAAGTGCTGAAACTTCTGTTCTGAGCGCTCAAGCATGATCAAGGCACGTAGTAAGCACCAGTTCACCGTTTCCTCTCCTTGCATGATTTCTTCCTTCTGTATTGCAACTTGGAATCTTTCAAGTCTTTTTTATGTCCAACATAAACCAACAATTCCCAATTGAACTCTCAAATTGAATTTCCAAATAGATTTCAACTAGACTTGAAAAATAGAATTCTCAAATAGTTTTTCAAATAGAATTCGGATTACACCCTAATTCTAACAAAGAGGAAAGTGTTACCAGGTCATTAAACCTCTTAGAAGGGAATGATGAATTCCCAAAAATAAAAAATAAATAAAAGGCAGAAAGAAAGAAAAAAGGAAAAGAATGAAAAACATGCAATATATTTTTGCTTCTCAACCATATAAATCAGTTACGAACTCTTACACGCTCAAGGTAAGCACGCACACGGATCAAATTCTTGACCAATGCTTGTTCATTATTGTACAACATTTTCATTTCTTCAACAGTACTGTAAAAAGTAAAAACAAGTAAAAAGCAATGTTCAACTTATATAAATATATATAAAAGTGTTTACGAATTAATTTTCTATATTGCTCAAGTGGAACAATCTTCATGGATGCATCCGGAAGCTCACAATTTGATAGGAAAAGCCTCGAGAGGAATGGCCTTCTGTAGAGTAATTCCAAATCTCTCTGTCATGTCTGTTTCTTCCAGTTTTAATCCCCCTTCAAGTTTCCATTCAAAGTTACATATCAAAGTGGCTAGCATGAGGTGCACCATCCGACGGGCCAATGGCAAACCAGGGCATATCCTCCTCCCAGCACCAAAAGGAATGAGCTCGAAATCTTGACCTTGAAAATCAGTTTTGATGTCTAAAAATCTTTCAGGCATAAACAAATCTGGACTCAACCAATTGTTTGAATCTCTACCGATCGCCCATACATTAACTAGAATTTGTGCATTTTTAGGGACCAAGTAGCCATTGATCTCTACATTGTCATCAGATTTACGAGGTACTAGAAGGGGGGCAGCAGGATGGAGCCTAAAGGTTTCTTTCACCACAGCCTGCAAATATGGGAGTCTTGAAATGTCTGATTCTTGAATTAGACTCTTCATTCCAATTACATCCCTTAGCTCATTTCTCGCTTTTATTATCTTCTTAGGGGTGCGCAATAACTCTGTCATTGCCCATTCAACTGTACTTGAAGTTGTATCTGCCCCACCAATAAATAAATCCTACAAACAAGAAAAATTAATTATGTTCTTAATCAAGCCTCACTGCAACCTATTTTTCATGAACTTTGCCTGTCTTTGACCAAAAGATAAATTCACTTTTTGCTCCAGATAACATTGAAACATATATAAGGATTAAACTTTTAGTCGATTCAATAAACATGCACTTTTTGGATTGATGTACAGTGTTTATGTAATTAGTGCACCAACTATTTCGTGATTCGTGCTGAAAGTTATGTATCCTTTTCCCTAGATCCCCACGTTGACCACTTTACAAAGGCACATGGTGTATAGTCAACATGCGGGCAAGACCACTTAGGTTAGGGAGGCAATCAACATCCGGTGCGTAATCTACATGTTGCTAGTTAGAACTAGGTCTTCCAACCCCTAGTATTCTTATCAATACTTCGGTTTTCTTGAGTATTGATTTTATTTCACTTCTATGAAAACATTTCACTTCTATAAAAACCTAGTTAATCACCCTTATCCTGCAAAGAGCTTATTCGCCAAACCTTCGAGTTGGGAGTTGTGCTGATTCCTTCATGCAGTCTGTACTGTCCTTATCCGTCAAGGGAAATTATCCCTTTGTATCGATGTCCTTTTGCTTGGGTCCACATGGGAATTTAGGCAAAAGGATAGATCACGACAAGTACCAATTACACAATAATACGTCAACTAATTAGATAGACATGACATATTCTAAAAATGCCATGTTATAGAGTCATTTTGGCTAAAAGTTTAAACCTTTTATTTATATCAATTTTTATGTTAAGCAAAATGAATTTATCTTTTGGTCAAAAGCTCGCACGTGCAAAATTTATGACAAAAATGAAGCTTGAACATATGCCTTCTATAGGTTTTAATATCATGTCGAGCCGATTTTATACTTTTATTACAAAGGACGACCGGATGGAATGACTACGTTAATTTGCTAATCAGAACATATGCTTTTGGTTTTTCGGCGTACTAGTCTTCTTTACTATGGTGAAAAAATAAAAAAAATTCAGTAAAATACTCCTTAAACGAACCAGAAATGCTGTAGAAAAAATTTCAGTATAATACTTACCAGAAGAAGATGCTTTATATCATCTCGGCTTAATTCAGGCTCAAATTTTTGGTTGAGATCAAGGAGAGCGTCCAGTAAATCATTTTTCACTGTTGTGCCTCTCGATTTCAACCGTTCATCTATTATGCCATCGAATATTGCAAACAACTTATCAAAATAAACCTTGTTCCGGCGCAAAATTCCTTGCGGATCATAATATTTGAGAACTGGAAAATAGTCTGCAATATTAGGAGTTCCAACACATTCCATCACACCCCATACAACTTCCTTAAACTCTTGAGAAGAATCAGAGTTAAAATCTGCAAATTCAACTGAAAAAAGAGTTGCTGACATCAAATTAATTGATGTGATTAAAGCAGCTTCACCAATTTTAACAGCCCGCCCATTAACACTACACTGATTTACATAATCACTCAGTATCAGCAACTTTTCCTGGCGAAGGTCCCAACTTGCGTCAAGCCGAGGCGTTGAAAACATTTGTTCTTTACATATTCTGCGAAGTTTACGCCATTGATTTTCCGCGGGCAACCACACCATAGAAAGTTTGTCGTGTTCTTTTGCCATGGCTGCACTAGGAGGATTTCTGCTGGAGAAGACTTGATCGTATTTTTGCAATACATCTTTGGCTATTTCTGGTGATGAAACAACTACAACATCAAGACACCCTATTTTAAGATATATTAAGGGTCCATAGGTTCTGGAGAGTTTGGCCAGTGACTGGTGGGGTTTCTTGCCGAGTTCTAGCATGTTTCCAATGATCGGAAAAGGATATGGCCCCGGCGGGAGCTTGTCGGATTTCTGATGCTTTGAATTTAATGTTTGGAAAAGAATCCATATCCATATTATCGACAAAAGAAGGAGCAAAAATGTTAGGAAATCCATGGATACGGTGTTTCTTTTTCCTCCCTTCTTGTCTTCTACGGGGCTTCACTACTTATTTAATCTTAAAAAGTAGTGCTCAATATAATGATTCATTTTTGGAAATCTACCTTAAATAATATTAAGAGGAAATTGCTTGAAATATCTACTTTCACATGATCACTTGCAAAAATGTCCATTTTGAAATACTTTGGACCAAAATACCTCTGTGAACAATTTATGATTCCATAGTCCACACAAAGACAAAAAATGGACATTTTTGCAAAAAATTTATTAGTCAATAAATTTTTGACACATAACCTGCCATATTTATTTCAAAAGTGCACATATCAAATAACAATTAATGCTATTTTTCTTATTGACACAGAAACGTCGAGAATTACATTTCAAGTGTAGAGAATTGTCATATTTAGAATAAAATGTCATTCTAGAGATTTAAAATGTCGAGAACAACGTTTGAAATGTCGAGAAAATTTAATATTGTGATTTGACATGTCTACTTTTAAAATATAAACGAGATTCAAATATCGAGAATAATATTTGAAATGTCGGTAATATAATTTTAATGTAACTTCTCATGGAAGCTACTTTTCGCAATAAATTGAGAAAATAAATGAATTGCTTCTTTTTTCATAAAGGGCATAATAGACAATTTAGTGCTAAATTTAAAAAGTGGAAGTTTTTCAATTGACACCCATGAAATTAGACATTTTTTAAAATACCTCTAATATTAAATACAAGCCAACCCCAAATCTAGAATGTCATGGAAGATAAACTTTGGGGGTAATTAGCTAAAAACATCCTTATCGTTTATACTTATTGTGAAAATGGTTCCTATCATTTAAAACTGACCATTTACACCCTCATTTCAAACATTTCTTGCAGAATTGGTCATTTCTGTTATGTTTCGTTAAATATGTGTGATTTGACAAAAAAGTCCCTATCGTTTGCATTAATTGCCCAAAGAGTCCATATCATTTCATTTTGAAAATTTGAACACTCAGATAGACAATTGTTTGCTTAAAAGTCCATTACCATCAATTTTCTCCATTACAACATTATAAAATGACTAATTTATCATCCTATTCCAATAAACAAATAGAAAAATAAATAACTTAAAAAAAATTGTATCTAGAGTTTCCATTTTTTTTAATCACAAACGAGTCTCACGTAAAACAATTTAAAGCATTCTAATAAAAAAAATATTTTAGTTTTCCAATTAAGTCATCTACCCCTACTTCTATGCACCACCACCACAACCAAAATAATTGAAAATAGAAATAGAAGTATAAAATAATATTTGATGAGACCATTTTGTTTATATATATATATTTGGTTTTTCGATTTTTAATTCCTTTTTTTTAACTTTTATTATACTTTGAATTATCTCTTTAATTGGTGGTGGTGGTATAGTGTTGGGGATGGGCATAAAGGGTAGATGGGTGTTGACACCGGGAAATTGACATTTCATGTGGCCAACGGAGTGCAACTCCACGCATATTCCTCCCAGGACGCTTGGCACAAGCGGTCCACAGTGCGTGGCCATTTCCGGCGACAATGTTTGCGGCCACGTGCACTCCACCGATCAAGTTAGTCGATGATAATTTACACAATTGGTTCTGGTAGCAAAGGCCACTCAGCTTATTTATCTAAAATAGGGGAGGAGAAAAAAGGACTTGGATTGTTCAATACTTTTTTTAAAGGTTTAGACTTTTGGCATTTATAGAGAGAAAGGTGGAAGGAGAACCATTGGATGGAGAACACCTGTCCTCATTTGTCGGCCTGAAGTTTCTTCTCGAAGGCGTCAATGTTTCCGAGTTAGAGTTGACACATTGGCATCTACTGCATAGATATCCTATCCATCATTTATAAAATTTTATCTTGGACAACTCTTTGCCTAAAAGATTCGTATCTGTGCCGAGACTTCTAGGCGTACCACTTCGGATGATTGTATCTAGCTTCGGATCCTGCCTCATGCTGATGTTGGGGCGCATCAGCGCATCGGAGTGCACATGTGTTTAGTGTACATTAGGCATTTCAACGTATCGGAGTGTGGCCTGTGTTTGGTAACGTGACAGTTCGACACAGGGAGTTGTAACAGTGGGTTAATTGGAAGATAAAATATTTTTCTTTTATTTCAAATATTTAAAATTATTTTACGTGAGACTTGTTTGTAATTTAAAAAAAAATGAAACTCTAGATGCAAATTTTTTATATTATTTTTTTCTGTTTATTTATTTAAAGATTATTATAAATTGGTCATTTTACAACATTATAGTGGAGAAAATAGATGATAAGAATATATTAAGCAAAGAAAGGTTGATTTAAGTGTCCAAATATCAAAATTTGAAACAATAGGACTATTTGCACACTGAAAGCAAACGATAGAAACGTTTTGCACCAAATTACACATATTTAATGGAAGAATTTAACGAAAATAACTAATTTTGTAAGAAATGTTTGAAGTGAAGGTGTAAAATGTAAATGTCAAGTTTGAAACGATAGGAATATCTGCACAATGAGTACAAAATGTAAATGTCAAGTTTGAAACGATAGGAATATCTGCACAATGAGTACAAACTATTAGAATGTTATTTTGCTAATTACTTTGGAACCTTGACGTCAAAGGCTTGAGATTCAAAAATTTCTGCGAAAAAGGAAATGGCATGGATAACTTCGATACGTCCAACTCTTAAATTTCAAAAATTGGAAAACTGTACTTTTCCCAGATTTATT